TCAAATCCCAGGGGTTTTTATTCTGAATGTGCATGATGAGTCAAACATTGACTAAGATGTTGAGCCAGGACAGGAGGAGAGTGAGTCAGTAAATGTCAGTGTTGATGATGGGTTTCTGACTCTCATTACCTTGGGTAACAAAACAAAAGGCACTAAGTCAGCTCATCTTGGAAGGAAGTCTTTAAGGTCACATGTAGTGCTGTCATATGTAAACGTGTATCTGCATGTTTGACTCACATGTGAAGAAAAAGACAATAAAAAATAATGTACTGTCAGACCAATCCGTTCATTGACACCCTGATTTGCATTTTCCCCATCAGTATTGTCCGTCAGCATTGAAATCAACTTTTTTTTTAAAGAATCAATGTTTCATTTCAACCTCCTTTTCCATCACAAAGACAAAACAGAGTTTATATAAAAACCTGTCCGGTAAAAGATTCAGAGAGAGAAATGTGAATTCGTCCTCCCATGATAACTTAACTCCTACTTCACTGAGTCATTTGTATTTTATTTTTAAATGATCTGAAACAGCAGGGAGGTTTTTGAAAGGTTATATTATCATCTTCTCAAAGTAAATGAGCATATTGCACAAATATTACATAATTATTGTAGTGATGATTGCGGTACTGAAACTCTATGAGATTAGTTTTTGCCACACACAGTACCTATTGTAAAAAAGAGAATATTTACAATTGTAAAATGTTTTTCAATTCAAAGATACAGGAAATCTACATAAAATAATGCTTATAGTCCGGTTCAAAAGTCTATATCAGTCAGCAACCACATGCTTCCTGTTGGCTGCTCACTAGTTCTATTTCTAGCACTTGAATCTCATTTCCCCGTTATTTACTCTGTCTGCTTCACTTTATCCTACTCAACTACCTTTTCTCAACATTGATCTACTTTCATATGCATCAGTGTTTACCTCCATCCCTTTATCTACTACCTCTCCTTTGTATGTGTACTATATCTACCCTGCTCCTCTTCCTTCTGCCTCTACTTCCTAACACGTGTACCCCACTCTGCATCCACCCATCTCAATGTGTCTATATGACAACCAAGCTCTTTTTTTACCTCATTCACACCAACGCAAATCCGGTTCAAGCTCCGTGCTAGAACTTTTCAGGTTCAGAACCGGTTCTTCGGTTTAGCTCCGGCTCTTTTCACACCGCCCAGAGTCCAACTGGTGCTGCGTCATTGCCTCATCGTTTGCGTCATGACGTAACCGTTTGCGTGCCTGCTTCATAAAGCCAAACCGCGCGGAAACTCTTCACAGCTCACAACAACAACAATGGCCGATTGTGCTCCAGCTTCCTCTGTACCTCTTCGGAAGACCAGATTCCCAGTAGGTAGCTGGTCTCTTCAGTGGACCACTGCTGCTTGTTAAGTTTCTCCATCGTTGTGTACAAACAGTTTGTACACAACGATGGAGAAACTTAACAAGCAGCAATGGTCCACTGAAGTGACCAGCTACCTACTGGGAATCTGGTCTTCCGAAGAGGTACAGAGGAAGCTGGAGCACAATCGGCCATTGTTGTTGTTGTCGGTGTCAGCTGTGAGGGGTTTCCTCGGGGTTTGGCTTTATGAAGCAGGCACACAAACGGTTACGTCACGACTCAAACGATGACGCAATGACGCAGCACCAGTCGGACTCTGGCAGTGTGAAAAGAGCCGGAGCTAAACCGAAGAACCGGTTCTGAACCTGAAAAGCTCTAGCACGGAGCTTGAACCGGAGTTGCGTTGGTGTGAATGAGGTAAAGTGTGGTCCGCGGACCACTGGTGGTCCGTGAGCGCCCCCTAGTGGTCCGTGAGTATATTGGTAACATTTCACATTTGAAATTAATTAATTAATTTAAGTTTTCCGCACTCTCGCGGGAATATCTCCGCAATGGAGCGAGCTTAAGTTTCACTTTCGATTGCATGATATAGCCCAGCGAAACACCTTCATCAGACATGTTGCCACTTGTTTGTACCATTTTCATCCATCCATCCATCCATCTTCTCCCGCTTATCCGTGGTCGGGTCGCGGGGGTAGCAGTTCCAGCAGAGAGCCCCAAACTTTCTTTTCCCTGGCGACATCAACCAGCTCTGACTGAGGGATCCCAAGGCGCTCCCAGGCCAGCGAAGAGATATAATCCCTCCACCTGGTCCTAGGTCTACCCCTTGGTCTCTTCCCAGCTGGACGTGCCTGGAACACCTCCCTAGGGAGGCGCCCAGGTGGCATCCTAACTAGGTGCCCGAACCACCTCAACTGGCTCCTTTCGACGCGAAGGAGAAGCGGCTCAACTCCGAGTCCCTCCCTGATGACCGAACTTCTCACCTTATCCCTAAGGGAGACACCAGCCACCCTGCGGAGAAAACCCATCTCGGCCGCTTGTATCCGCGATCTCGTTCTTTCGGTCATGACCCATCCTTCATGACCATAGGTGAGGGTAGGAACGAAAATGGCCCGGTAGACAGAGAGCTTTGCCTTCTGGCTCAGCTCCCTTTTCGTCACAACGGTGCGGTAAAGCGACTGCAGTACCGCTCCCGCTGCTCCGATTCTCCGGCCCATCTCACGCTCCATTGTTCCCTCACTCGAGAACAAGACCCCGAGATACTTGAACTCCTTCACTTGGGGTAAGGACTCATTCCCTACTTGAAGTGGACAGTCCATCGGTTTCCTGCTGAGAACCATGGCCTCAGATTTGGAGGTACCATTTTCAGGCGATTTGTAATCTGTTCTAGAAAAATGATGTGATTTTGGATATTTGTGGAGTTAGGTGGTCCGCGACTGTTTTTTATTGGTTAAGTGGTCCTTGGTATGAAAAAGTTTGAGAAACACTGCTCTAGCCGCACAATTTTTTGGTGCTTGAAACTAACCGGATTCCGGAGCTAAGGCTGCTCCGCTGCGGTGTGAACAGGAAAACCCGGTGCTTTTCAAGCTCCAGCTCCGAACCGGCCTTGAAACACCGTTGGTGTGAATGAGGTATTTCTGAGGTTTTGAGCATGAGTGAGCATTCTACTCACAAGCAATCCAATCCCATTTATCCATCTTCTTGCAATTAAACTTTGATGCCGATTTGTTAGAATAAATAGAAAGTGGTGAATTATTTATAGCTGGGTTTAAAAGAAAACACAAGCACACTAGTGTATCCATACACACCCACTGCTGAAAACACCCATGCACCGATCAATAATAAATCACACAGCAGCAAGAGGGTGGAATAAGCGTTGAGCGAGGCCTTTAAAGTGCACTGGGTTGGTAAATATAATATACACAAATACATTTACTTAATTTTACAGATAGATGGGGACAGATTACAGAAGCCTAGATGGCTTTAATGAAATGAGGCAAGAGAACCGAGCGCTAATGTGTGAGTAAAGCAGCCTTCTGTTTGTTGAACACAATGGCAGTCTGGTTCTGCTTTGTTCTGGCAATGATCAAAGATCCACTCTCTCCTCTATCCTCCCTTTTCCTGCTCTTCATACTTTCTTTGTATCTCTTTTGCACAAAAATCACACACTGGGATGCAGAATCATTCCTTTGCATCCCCTGCCATCCATACCTCCATTATCATTACAAGGAATTACTACTGACCATTCATTTGAACATATCACAAATACATTTTTCAAGAGTGGGAGAATAGCGTAGTGCACATGGATGCCGCTGCTATCCACCCCGCAAAGCTGATTTAGACACACTTCTGATGGAAGCGTTCACACTGATATGATGTAAGAACCCAACTGGGAAATGAAGAGCAATGTAGGATAAATCTCTCATGATTCTGGACAGCTCTCTTTAAGCCAGAAAAAGGCTTATAGCAGCTGTATGGCAACATTTAAAAGCTCTTTCTCAACACAAAGCCAGAGGCATCCCTTCTGTTAGACACCGCTCTCCACTTCAATTCCCCCCTGTTTGACTCCCTCGAAATCCTTTCTGGCTTGTAGTGTTTTTAAAATCAAATTCTAGCCCACATATTCTCATCGTGACTGCTCTTGTATGAGGTTTGGCTCTGTCTCTCTGGAGGTGGGTCACCTTGGAAAGTCTCTCTCACCCTCTCAGATCACTCACTTTGCTGACGAGCATTTGCCCTTCTCTCAGTGAACTGCTGGCGGTGCAGGGGAAAAAGTAAGCAATAGAAAAAGGGGAGATCTGTGTAATATCCTCAAAGTCTTGCAGTGTTTTTTTAGCACATTTTTTTTTGCACACTTTGACTGAATTAACCTACACTCATGGTTAGCTTGGAAATGATGGGCCTTAGGGCACAGACACATGGCTCCTTGATGACCTAACATAACTCTTCAAAGTACCAGAGCCCACACTTCATAATTCATGATAAACACACACTCCTATTGCAAGTTTTATGAATACATCCTTTCTGAAACAGGCCCATGATCACTTAGGCACACCATTTATATTGAAGGAAAAGTTCAAAGCTACTTTTGGGTCAAACTTGTACTTTCTTCCAAGAGACAGGAAGATGGACACTATTCACATATCACAGCCAGCAGCAAGATAGCTAAGACAAGCACAAAGACTGCAGGACATTGGGAACAGCTAGATTGGCTCTGAAGTCATGCACAGAGCACCCCCATAAAACAGCTGTGTTGTTTTGGTAAAGATTAAACAGACAGAATACAACATGTTAGTGAGCGTTAGAGGTGCTGGCAGGTGTATTCTGTTACCATTGGACAGAGCTTGTACCTCTGTTAGCACTCTTTGTCCTCATCTTAGCTAACATGGGGTGGGTTTGCTTTGGCCTTTTAATCTAGTCATCTTCTCAACAGTATTATGTTATATCTTATTTTATATACCTTGTCATATTGTTTTACAGTACAATATATTATAGTATAACATACTATTATAGTACCTATCCAGGGACGTTAGAGGCTGTTATTTCCTACGTGGTGAAATTGATAAACATAACTGGTGTATTGATGACGACTGTGAAAAGGTGTGAACATAGATAGTTGCCATGAAGTTGACAGATGTGTGGGAGTGTGGGGACAGCACTGACCGTTTGCTTTATGTCTGGGATGCCAATGCGGAACACCATCATAGCAATGTGGGTGTCTTCAGATGGAAGGGAGCCGGTGCTGCGCTCCTTCAGCCTCCTCTGCTGCGGCGGCTGCTGCGGCGGAACGTGATTGGCTGGCGGTTGGTGCGTGGGACCCGGATTGGACGAGTAGGGGTTTGCGGTGTGTCCAGGGTTCCCTGTCCGGACCTGTCTGTCCCCCGTGGGTCGTCCGGCCACTTTACCTGACTGCCTGTGTCCCTCAGCCCTGCCTACCCTCGACACGCCGCCTCGCCTGACCTCCTCCACCACCTCCTCTTCATAGTCTTCCTCTTCCCCCTCGCCATTCTCCTCCTCCTGGTCCTCCTCACGCTCCTCTTCCTCTATTTCCTCCTCCTCTTCCTCCTCCTCCTCTTCCTCGTTCTCTGCCCCTGGATAGAGATGTCGATTGTTTCCCAGCATCCTTTGGTGCTCCTCGTCGCTGGACAGGGGGCTGAACGGCATCGTCATGGCGACAGAGAGGGCGGCACAAGTGGCAACATCATCACTCCCAGAGAGACACTGCAATGTGAGGATGAAAGAGAAGACATGAATAAATCAGAGACAAAGAAGAACTGCAGAAGTTTGTAAGTTTCCTCCCCGGCTGTATCCAGGCCTCCGAACCGCATCAGTCCAACAAACTCTGGGCTCTATGGGAACAGACTGCTGCAGTTACAGACATGCAGTACTTCTAACCCTCACCGCATGATGACATACTATTCACACCTCATGTATAAATGATCCCACTTGTGCGGTTCATTTTCAGCTTTCAGACACTTGTTAGACACTCAGACATCCTGCCTGTGCTGTAACGCCAAGATGATTGAAGCCTCAGATGCTTCCTGACGCATGAAACATGTCAGTTTTTCACTCTGAGCAGTTGTACTATGGCGTTAGTATTATAATATAGTGCAATATGGTCATACATAGTGACACATATTAGTTAACTGAGCTATTTAACACAGAAAAAAAAGGCCCTATCCAAATCAAAACCTTGAAAATGTAGAGAGACCCATTGATACACATGCACTGATCCCATTGTATATCTCTATTTTTGTATGACCAAAATGTAGGGCGATAACTGGATTGTCATGACATTTGGTATGGTTATTTGATGCACCTAGAGGAGGAATTGCTGTGTTTTGGCCTTGTTTTTGACCTACCTTGTGTTACCACTTTTACACAAGCAATACCAAAGTCTATTAGACAAAGATTGTTCAGGGCTGTTATTGAGCACATTGATATATCGTATCATAAAATACGATTTGAATGTTGCCATTACCTTTCTTCTAAAGCTTCCATCAGTAGAAACTTAGCCAAGCAAACAAGGGTTGCACTTTATGTCCAGCATATTGTATTTTTTCTGTATTTCTTGTTACACTATAGCTGCTGAGACCAATCAACATCTGTAGAAATCGAAATACCCAACAGTGTTTCCTTCAAGCAAAGGTACTTTACAAAGCCATCAATATGCTTAGTGAACTAATTAATTGTTCTAACTCTATACAGCAGACTGCTTGTCAATGCACGTCTTCTATACAGACAGCAGCTCTTCATGCGATAAACTATGCACTCTTTTGCTCCAGCCATCACCCATGAGAGAGCCGAGGAGCCACTTCAGAGCATCAGTGATGCAGCGCTGTACTCAAGTGCAAGCTGAGCAAGTTAACAGATCTGTCCCTGGTGGCTCCTGGTTGGCTTTGAACACTGTTTCAGGATGTTCAGCACCACTACATTCTGGACAGCTTCACACCGAACCAAACAGCAGAATGACAAATGGCAGGGACAAACAGCGGATACATTGAACAACAGAGGAGTGACCGAGTAGAAGAGTCAGCTGTGGAAATACCAAACACATGTATCATACATTGGTTAAGCTAAAGTACAAGGTATTTAGGTATTTTCTACTTTACTTGCTATTTGTGTATGTAGTGTTAATTCACTACATTCAAGACAGAAATATAGTACTTTTAAAAGAATGACCATTGCACTAGTAATCTGAAAAAAAAAAAAAAAAAATCTTGCTCGGGATGAATACCAAGTACAAGATAATGAGGGTGTTTTAAATTGTAAATGGAGCTCGTGTTTGTGGCGAGGCACGAAAAGTGTTAGACACAAATGTCAAGACTTTCCTCGTGGGACGCTGAGCTAAAACTACCAGCTGTCCAGATCGACAAGGAACAGGAAGGAAGAATAAAAGAAGAAGAAGGGCTACAACACAATGTAACAGAAAAAAGAGACAATAGGATTTTGGCAAAGAATCTGACTTTCATGTCCTCACAACTCATTTGATTTGGAAGATAAAAGCGTGGCAGTAGCGGGAGATTTTTTCTACAATGATATTTTCTTCAAGAATTTCCTTGATTTAGGTATCACTTATTTGCTGCCAGTGGATCACTCTCTACCTACTGCAGTCTGTGCCATTTACAGGCAATACAGAAAGAAAATGTACTTGATCTAGCAAGAATATAAAGCTTTTGAAACTTGACATTTCTTCAGTTTGGAAGCTAAATGTGTGCTTTCTGTTTCAGTGTCTCTTTACTTCTCACACAACTCACACACTGAGTTCATGAGCGGCCGTTGAATCTGGGAGCATTTCAGCCTCTAAAGCTTGTTAGCAACAAAAGTTCTGTTAACAGTCATGAAGAAAGAGTGAGAAGCCAGATGATTATGAAGCAACATTTAGAAAATGAACAGGAACAACATTTAGATTGTATAAACCAAGCAAGGACAAATAAAGGATCATGATTATCACGTTGTGTCTTATTATCTCATTCTATGTTTTGCATGTCAAATCTTAATATTGGGAGTGAATCGTAACTACAGCCATACGATAAAGGGAGTGGAGCAAATAGAGTCTAAAATGCATGAAGGAAAGTCAATAAAAATACAATACTTGAGCTTGGGGTGTTTTTATAAAGTTGCTACAGCTAGATGAATTGCAAGCTTCAGAAAGGTTATCAAACCTCTTTCAAATGTTACACAAAGTTAATGATGCTTATATAAATCTGTTTCTGACCATTTAGAGGAGTGCTGGAGATATAGAAGAAAAGTGAATATGTTAAAGCAAACGTAAACTATACAACAAGGGAGGAGAAGAGGAGTCAAAAACCAAATTGTTTGAGGGAATTGATGAGTGAAAGAGACAAGGGCACAGAGACAGAGAAGGAGCGAGATAGAGAAAAAAGCAACGTTGGTATAGTCCTGTCAGAAAGCTGACCAACCGGAAAGACATACCAAAGGCAGATAGGATAATAAAGGGAAGTGAACAATTCATATTTTTGCATATTGCTGAGTAATCAAAGATAGGAGAAGCTAACGAGGAAGGAGAGGGGAGAGGACGAAAGGGGAAGCAGTCGGGGGGGGGGGGGGGGGTCAGATGGAGACAAGACGAGAAGGAGGGAATAAAACGAGAGAAAAAGAAAGAAAGGCAATTAAAAATGTGCTTTAACACATGGGAGGAAAAGCACATAACATACAATGCCATGCTAAATGCTAACACGTGTCTCATTTTATCATTAGAAGTGATCACAAATGATATATTGTTGGAATGTCATTAGTTTTGCAGGATTTTGTTCTTAAACAAATACAACAATGTGACCTAATGCTGGCATTAGAGATAAGGTCCCCAAAGTTATCCAAGGAAATCCTTAAGGGAGGGCTTAATGAATGTGTGTACCAAGTTTCCTGGCAATACATCTGTCACGATCACAGGTACAGATCAGAACCCAATAGCACGACTCAGATACAACCAGTGTATAGCAATGTTCAGTTTATTCAGGTCAGAGACAGGCAGGGTCAAAACCAGTAAATCCGTCAGACAGGCAACCAAAACCAGACAGGGAGCAGGCAGGAACTCGAGATCCGTAAACAGGCAGGCAGGGATAAAAAACCGGGCAGGACAAAAATCTAGGCTAGAATACAACACTCACTGGAGAGCTTGGCGGAAACGACAAGACAATCTGGCAAAGGACAATTGATAGTGAGGTGGTATAAATACTGTGGAGTGATGAGGGAATGAGTAACAGGTGAGGGGAAGGGCTGGGGAGACCAGCTGAGGGAAGTGAGCTGATTACAAGGGCCTGGAGGAAGGCGGGATCTGAAATGACAGGAGAGTTTAGTTGAGCCACCAAACAAACAATAATAGAAGTGTCTAACTTGTGACAGAACCCCCCCCTCTATGGACGGCTCCTGACGTCCCACGTGGTTGATCGGGATGAGCCTGGTGAAAGTCAGTAATGAGAGATGGGTCAAAGATACTGCGAGCAGGCACCCATGAACGTTCTTCAGGGCCATAACCCTCCCAGTGTACCAGGTACTGCAACCCTCTACCACGTCGCCGGGACTTGATGAGGCGACGGACAGTGTAAACAGTCTCCCCGTCGATAGTCCGGGGTGGTGGTGGGGGTCTAGAGGGGGGCTGAAGAGGGCTCACATTAACTGGTTTGATCTTGGACACATGGAAGGTAGGATGAATCCTCATAGAAGGGGGCAGACGCAGGCGGACAGCTGCAGGATTGATGACCCTAGCTATGGGAAATGGGCCTACAAAACAGGGAGACAACTTCTTTGACTCAACTCTGAGAGGGAGATCCCGTGTGGAGAGCCAGACACGTTGCCCTGGGGAGTACTGTGGAGCTGGCTTGCGACGGCGATTGGCGGTCCGTTGATAACGGTTGGAAGAGCGCAGGAGCGTGCCTTTAACCACATGCGTCGACATCGGCTTACAAACGCCTGTGCAAATGGGACGCTGGCCTCACGTTCCTGTGCCGGGAAAAGGGGTGGCTGGTATCCGCGGGAGCATTGGAATGGAGAAAGACCAGTAGCAGAACTAGGAAGGGTGTTGTGGGCATACTCAACCCATAGAAGCTGCCTCGACCAGGAGGAGGGAGTGGAGGAGGCTAGACAGCATAAGGCAGTCTCCATCTCCTGGTTCATTCGCTCTGCTTGACCATTGGACTGGGGATGAAATCCGGACGAGAGACTGACACTGGCTCCCAGCAGCCTGCAAAACTCGGACCAAAAACGAGAAGTAAATTGTGGTCCCCGATCAGAGACAACGTCACTGGGGAGACCATGCAGCCTGAACACATGTTGTAGCATGATTTCAGCCGTTTCCTTGGCAGTAGGTAATTTGGTTAATGGAATAAGCAGAGCAGACTTGGAAAACCGGTCTATGACTGTGAGTATGACTGTGTTACCGTCTGAGGGTGGTAGTCCAGTGACAAAATCCAAGGAGATGTGGGACCAGGGACGATGAGGGATAGGCAAGGGATGAAGAAGACCGGAGGGAGCTTGGCGTGAAGTCTTATTTTGGGAGCAGACTAGGCAAGCAGCAATGAATTCCTTGGTATCCTTCTCCATGGAAGACCACCAAAATCGCTGTCGAATCAGGGCTAGGGACCGTCTCACTCCTGAGTGACAAGCCAGGCGAGAGTTATGACCCCACTGGAGAACCTGGGTACGGAGAGTGTCAGGAACAAACAGATGGTTAACAGGACAGGCACTTGGGGCTGGATGTT